AACTTTTGATTGTCTATTTAAGTAGTTTGTATATCAGTATTATATTGTAAGACTACACTAATTGCCATTATATATGCCACCGAAATAGGTTTTCAAAAAATCTCTATTTTGTCTCTATTAGAGCAATTTAGAATTTTTTATATAATAAAGCAAATCTAATTTAGATAGTTATATTTTTTATAATTTTGTCTCTTCAAAAAAAGTATCAAAAAATTTTGTCTTTCAATTTTATTTTCAAATTTTAATTTTGTACCTTGAAACCTAAAATAATTTTATCAGTATGTATAATTTCTATACCTATAACCTAACTAGGGATTATCTATTTAAATCCTCTGTAACATACATATTTCCTTTGTATCACCAAAACATCTCTGTTACATGTTAATCAAGAAGTTCTGGATGCTTACATCTTAATCTTGTTCAGTATCATATGTATCTTTTAATGCAGTATATTTTAAGATATTTTCATTATTACATAGAGTCTTAAAGAGCATTTCAATTTCATTTAAACTCTGAAGCTTGTGTTGATGCTGACGGCTTACTGCATTATACACATCAGGTTTGTGAATATATTTGGAGCTAACTGAAGCTAATACTGAATAAATATCTTTTGTCCTAAGCCCATTATCATGAAGCTTCTCTATTAAACCGAGATCATCCTTATTAAACTTGTGCACAACAGTGCTAAATTTTACGGCATCTAAATGAGGCTCATGATTATGCTCCAAAATAGACTTAGTTATAACAAATTGTTGGAACTGTTTACGATAATTTATACTGATTGTAAAAAAACAACCAATTTGCTTGGATCTATATACATCATTTATTCTATTGGATTTTCCTTGCTTTTCACATACAAAATATGCTTGTTGATAGTTGCTATTATCTAAATTATTTGTCATTTTACCCAAAATTATAACTGTCTTTGTTTGCGCAACATATCTTTCTATCATTACACACACTTTAGCGAAAGTTGCAAAGGTATGTTCTGGCTTCACAACGCTATTATCTATACAATTTTCTAAGGTATGTCTTGATCCCACAATGTTATTATCACTATGAACATCAGCAAAGGCTTCAATACTATATTCAGACTCAACAGCACAAGTATCTATAGGGGTTTTAGCGAAAAAAGGGTCCATAGTATTGATAATACAGTAATGGATAATGTGTATTTTTGCAAGGTAAATATTACTTTTTTTATTTATTCGTTTATTTATAAATACACCCTGTCTTTCAATTAATTACAACATTGTTTTTGCACATAATTTAAAATTAAACTCCGATCTTTGATCAACACCCCACGAGATGTTTGTGACCACAAAAATTATTTATACATGTTAAAGATATAAATATGCTAAATTGCTAAAACTAATTTGGTTATACTAAAATTTAACTGTTTAACAATCTCTAAAAATAATAATAAAATATAGAAAATTTCTTAATGTACACTAAACTAGTGTACAAAACACGGGTATTAATAGTTGATTTACAACATGTAGCATATAAATCGTAGGCCAAAAATTAAACCTGATTTAATGTTAGGGTAAGGTTAGCTTTAGGGTTAGGAAAGGTTATAATTTATACTAAAATTTTGCAAGGAATTTTTTTTGTTAGAACCCCGAAGTGGGTTTTATAATCAAAATTTCGAGATATCAATATACCCGTGTTTCATACACTAGTGTACAAATAGAAATCGTCTAAAATATATATACACAATACTAAATAGTCATATCTCTATTTAGATTTTTAAATGTCTTTAGTTTGTTAGTTTTTCGACATATCAAAATTGCGCGATTTTATTGGCTGAACTAAAATTGATGTACGTGAAGTTACACAAACTGATGTACGAAAAAAATTGCTAGTAGGTTTTTGAAATACAGCACCCTAAGTTGTAATATAAAGATTTACAATATAATAACATAATTCTAAACAAATCTAATAAAACAGTAAAAAATAAATATCAAAATTGAGGATTGGGTCATTGATGAAAGTCTTTTCCTGACTAAATTTATTAATTTACCCGCATTTACAACTAATTGTACACTAGACAAATATTTTTATATGCACTTACCTTTGAAATTAATAATACTTCAGACCGTTATTATGGCGGCAATGATCTTTTTGCTAGCACTCTTATATTGTTTAGAAAAACTTCAATTATGTCTAAATAACGATTACTCTGTTGGTTTTCAATTTTAAGTTTTTCCTCAAGTAAGATTCGTGGGTCTAGAAATTCTACTTCAAGTTCATGAGTCAAATCTTGAGATGGTAGGGTACCATCAGATAATCTTTGTTTCTAATGATTATAAATATAAGTTAAACATGTAATAATCAAGAAAAGGGATGACAATAAATACAAACCTCAGGACCCTTGACCTGAGTCAGATCAATTTTGAATAATTGATGGCTATAGCTTAGTCTGTTTTTATTCCGTTCAAAGACATGTTGACCATTAGGCATTTCCACTGGTAATAAGTGGAATATAGATCATTAATGGATCTTGCGAATTACAACAGACAATCTATAATTACTTACTCGGTTTTTCAACGTTTACAGATATACGATAATCAAGGTGAGTACATGGAGAGTAAATATTCAAATGTGCAACATTGGTCTTTTTAATAATTCCGCCATCGATAACCTGAAATTTAATTTATTTAATAAAATTGTCAACAATTTTAATCCATAATCTCAAAATAAATCTTCAAACCTTATTGGTCCTTTGATCTACAGTGACCCTAATTTTTCCAGATCCAGTTCCGGTATAAAATCTATCAGTTTCATATAGATGTCTGTATTCCACAGGATCGCCCTATTTTAGTGAGAATCAAATTATTATGATTCAAAAAACATATGTCGCTGCTGATGCTGAAATTTGCGGTTTCGATTTGAAATATAGTCCTTACTAAAATCCACGTATACACTTTGTTATAAATTCCAGTCCTAAATCCTAGCCTAATCCTAAAAAAGGCTAAAAAATACCCCCAAAATTTTAAATTTTCATATTAAAATAGTCAAATTTTAACATAAACCGATTTCAGCATCAGTCGTGACACATATTAACACGATAATTATAGATAATTATACTCTGTAAGGCGGTTTTGTTTGATTCACACGTTCGTTTAATAGTTTGTTGAAATTACTGTGTTGCGCCTAAAAGATCAAATATCGAGATTAATTAGAGGATTAATTAGACTCATCAATTCACAAAGAGAGAAAAAAAGGTACAATTGTCATGTTACTCTTGAAACTGAACCATCCATCATCGCGAGGATTAATAACTATAATTTAAATATCATCTTTAGAAACAACATGTAAATAAGTACGATAGATTTATTAATTCGCACCAGTTTCACTTATAACGGGCAAATTCAACCGTGTCTGCAGATTTTTATCTACAAGTATACCCAGTTTGGCTTCTATCTGAATGTCCAAGAATTCAAACGATTAGTAAATTTAATGGTAACAAACGATGAATTTAACTATTAAATCATTGTCACCTCTACATATTCTCTGCCAACATGATTATATAGGAAATCGCCTACTACTTTTGTAATATCGTTGGTAGGTTGAAAGCCAAAAATTGATGGCTCTAAGATTCTTGGCAAATGATGTCCAGCACTTTCATAACGCACTACAAATTCATCTGTATTAGAAACGCTTGGATCAGATTCAGTATCGCCTTCATTTTGAGAGTGATACCCAAGCTTTTCATTACTTGTCATGATATTGTCAATGTTTAAAAAAAAATATTAAGGAGCAGTCATTTAAGCAAGCATTTTGATTGGTCATATGACAATCGTCGATCACTCAACATAGCTGACACATCGCGCTCTTTTATATTATTTTCTTCCTTAGCAAGAGTGTTAGATTCTTTTTCCAATCGCTTTATGAAACTTTTAATATAACAGTAAATGCTTTTTTTATAATATTCTCTACAGTGGCGGTAGCCATACTCTATTGTTGAATAACAGCTATGATGATAATCATGCTTACATTATATTTATTTTATATTTTTTTTTATTCTATATATATATCAAGTTAAAAAAATTTTGCAATTAGCTGATCAACAAAAACATTTCATATATTAAATGTAATAAATCACAATATGGGAGGAGGTCAATAGAAAACAGGCAAATTTTTTCTTAGTAAAATTTTTTCAAACTTTTAATTCAAATATTTTAACTATCAAACCAAATTTAATAAATTTTTTTTTTATTTTAATTCTATATAATTATAGAATCAAAATACTAAAAATTTTTTTAAGCTTGATTTAATATTTGGGGGTGAGTCAATAGAAATCAAGCAAATTGTTTTTATTAAATTTTTTTAAAATTTTATATACCAATAACTTAATCAGACTTGATCAAATTTAATAAAAATTTTTTTAAATAAATTCTATAAGTTTGTAGAATTTATTTAAAAATTTTTTTATTAAATTTAATTAAATTTTTGTTAAGTTATTGTTGTTTAAAGTTTAAAAAAACGGGTTTACTAAAATGCACCATAGGTGTTGAACACCATAGTTGCTATATCTCAAAAATGTACTAGCTAACACATCTCTGG